CCTCCCTGTGCCGCATGCAGCAGGAACCCTGCAACAGCTTGGGGAGATGGGAGGGAACCTCTGTCCCGCAGATCAGCTCCTTTCAGGAGCAGCCCCAGGATGCGAGGCGGGGGTTTAAACCCTTCTCTGTTCCCCAAGGACAGTGGATACCCTGCTCGGGGAGCTCCCCATCCCATGCTACCTGAGGTGGTGAACTGCTTGCCGCACTCCCGACACTTCAGGGGCCCATCCGCAATGTGAATCTTCAAGTGAGCTTTCAAGTTCCCCACCTGGGGACAAACATCGGGATGCAGAGAGCTCCCCACCATCCCCAGCAGCCCCCCATGGTGGGCACTGAGCCGTGACTGCTCCAGCCCCTGCCCCAGCTCACCTGGTTGAATTTCTTGTCACAGTGGGGACACTTGTGCTCCTTGTCGGTGTCGTGGGTCTCCAGGTGCCGCATTTTGGAGGTGGGGTCAGAGAAGGAGCGCCCGCAGTAGTCGCACTGGTAGGGCTTCTCCCCACTGTGCACCAGTTGGTGCCTCTTGAGGTTGCCTGAGGTGGTGAAGAGCTTCCCGCAGTCGTCGCAGCGGTACTTGGCCTCCCCCGTGTGCCGCTTCTTGTGCAGGTTCAGCAGGCTGATGAGGCGGTAGCTCTTCCCACACTCCTCACAGCCATAGGGCTTCAGCGGGCTGCAAGGCACGCGGGGCTGGCAGGTGAGGGAAGCAGCACAGCGAGTCCCCGCCGACCTCTGACTCCGCTGCCGCCGTCACAGCTCCAAGAGTGGAGCCGGGTGGCAGCTGTCGCCGTACCTGTGCGTCTTCTCGTGGGCTTTGCACGCCGCCGGGTCTGAGAAGGCTTTATTGCACTCCCTGCAGGAGAAGGGTTTCTCGCCGGTGTGGATGCGGATGTGCCGCTTGAAGTTCCCAGTGTGGGTGAACTCCTTCCCGCAGTCCTGCGGGCAGAGAGATGCGCGGTGATGCCGGGGGCACCGAGGAACGGGAGCCCTGCCGTGGCTGCGGCCGCCCTCACCTCACACTTGTGTGTGACGGAGCCGTAGGCTTTCGACTCGGTCCTGTCGCTGTAAGAACCCGAACGCAGCAGCCGCGTTTCGCCTGAGTTCTCCTGTCCGGAGTCAGTGCTCCCTGATTCGTTATCCTCAGCATTTTCTCTGCTTTCTAATTTGGGTTGTGCTGCCTTGGGAATTTTAGCCTCCTCTTCTTCCTCTGCCATCGCCTCCCCCTCTTTCTCCTTCCCTTCCAGCTCCATCTCTGCATGCATTCAAAAAAACAGGGACACGAAGGATCGAGAGCAGCATCAGAGACACAAAACCCATCTGCACTTCCTAACTCTAACCCCAAATTTAAGCTGACGCACCTTAGACCCTGACCCACTCCCAGGAAGGGAAAACAGCAAAGTCCCCGTGCTGTGCTCACCACAACGCACCTCTTGCCTCAGCGCTGGGAGCATCGCTGCCCTTCTCCCTGGGGCTGCTGTTGCCCACCTCGCTCTCTGCTGGCTGCAGGCGGCTGGGGGACGTGGCAGCAGGGCCGGCTTCGGCAGCACTGTCCACACCTACGAGCAGCAGAGAGTCTCAGCCACGTTCAAGAAGTAATGGGCAGCAGGACAGGGCATCTGGGGGGAGTTCAGAGCTCACCTCCTGGCTGCTGACTTTCTGCAGGGCCCTCTTTGGCATCCGGTTGCTCTGCTGGCTCCTTGGGCTGTGTTGCTGCGGCCACAGGCGCCTCTTCCTTCCCCTCTGGGTTGGGAGGATCTTTTGGTTTGTCAGAATCACCTTGCGTTACTGCTGCCGCTGTTTTGCCCTCAACAATCACCTTCTCAACCCCTGCAAAGGAAGAAAACTATGCCATCAGGCCTCTATGGCTTGCTGGATGAGGCGAAACAAAACAAGAAAGCTACGTACCGAGCTCAGTGAGGAGCTCCCGGCTCTCTACAGGGCTTTCTGCCAGCACCGTGAGGGATTTGAGTGCATTGCAAGCGTTGACGATCTCCCGCATCTGGAGGAACCCTGCCACAGCCAGCACATCTTCCACATTGTCAGGGTTCAGGCTCAGCTTGGCCGTGTACATGAACTCCAAAACCTGCCCCAACCCTGCAAAAGGCACAGCAAAGGCTGCGAGCTCCCACCCGTGCCACCCATCCGGCTGTGGGATCTGCAGAAGCCTTGGATCCTACCTGCCACGTTGCTGATGTCGAGGTGCACCACGTCCTCCTTCTGGTCCACAAAGAGCATCCTGAAATACTCACTGCATGCCGCCAGCACGGCTTTGTGGGCCTTGAAGTTGATGCCATCCACCACGAAGGTGCAGTCGCACAGCAAGCCCAGCTGCCGCAGCTGGTTCAGCTGCTCCAAAACCTGCCTGCTGTGCTGAGGGAAATCCATGGCTGTGGGCAGAAAGCAGAGCTGTAGTGAGGTGGTGCTAAAAGCCCAAAGGGGCGGGAATGGGGCAGAGCACGAAGCCAGGAATCCTAAGAAGCGGAAGGCGGAGGGTCAGCGGACCGAAGGAGGTGGGAGCACTGCAGACATCTGCAGGCAGTGGGAGCTCACGTACTCGGTCAGGGCTGGGCAGGCCAGTTCAACTGGGGCAGCTGCTGCAAGCCACAAACGTGTTCCTTCAGCTGCTAAGCACAGGACGGGCGTGCAGTGCGACGAGGGAGCCTCCTCCTGTCTGCAGTGGGTCGCAGCAATGAGCTCCCAACGGTCTTCTGCCTTGCTCTGCAGCCTTGGGTCTCCCTTGACAGCAATCACCCTTTGGAGAGGAGCAGCCAAAAGAAACCTGCAGGAAGGAGGTGTTAGGGGCTTCGTTTGCTCAGCTGAGAAGTCAGAAAGATAGAGGCTGGAAAGGAGGAGAATGAGGAGAACCACACAAGTTTGCTCTCCTCTGAGCAAAGATGCTCTCTGTGTCTCCTTCCCCTGCCTGTCCCAAAACACAGGATGATTTTCAACCAAACACCAACAAATCACTTGCCCCCAGACACATCTATCAACAGCCAGAAATAACAATACTTGTGTCAAGATCTATCTAAACCCTCATATATATGTGTGGATATATATATATGTGTAAGACTCATTGAAGTTTGCAAGGGAAACTTTGCTTCCCTAGAGAAAGAGCACTTTCCCAGCAGCACAAACAATGCTGCCTTATGTACTTAGAAAGCTCTGAGCCGCATGCAAACACAAAAGGATAGGATGGGAGCAGGAAAAAAAAAAGGAATGCAGTCAGGACTGCTAAAGAAAGCAGCTGACATGGACACAAACCCTTTCCTATTGGTGCTGTGACACACGAAGATGTATCAAAGCCCTGTGCCTGAGCTCAGCTCCATGCCTGAAAAGCAATGATAAAAGAGGAGTGGTCCTGGGTTGCAACCGTGTGCCGCAGACAGATCTCAGGAACAGACTTGGGAACCATAGAATCACAGAATGGCCTGGGTTGAAAAGGACCACGATGATCATCTAAGTTTCAACCCCTCTGCTGTGTGCAGGGTCGCCAACCACCACACCAGGCACTATGGCACTATGAGGAATGACAAGTTTGTGGCTCTCCTCCAAAATCTGCCCCTCCCTGGTGCTGAAGTCAAGACTCTACGCAGCCCTCCAGGGAGAAACGCACTGCAAACCCCCTGTTTTAAACTACAAAACTCACTGCTTCAGAGCTGTGCAAAACCCACAGCGGTTTCTTGCTGCTTTTTTTCCTACCCCACACCGAGGTGCTGTGACCTCCATGCAGACAACGCGCAGCCAGAAGCAGACACCCCCCGATTCCACCTTGTCAGAAGGGCGTGGTGCTGCTTTCCCTTCCCATCTCTCCCTGACGCAGCTGACAAGCCCCTCATTACCCGATCCGCCACAGAGATGGAAAGCTCTGCTACCAGAGCACCTGCACACACAGCAAGAGCCACAGCCAGGTCCCAGGGTGCAGCCCACACAAGTGTGCTCCCAGGGTATGAAACTGGGGGGAGAAAGGGAGGGAAAGCCAACGGAGCAAGAGGTGCTCAGCAACAGGAGATGTAAAGCAAAGGTTTTATGCCTTCTTTCCTCCTTCAACGCCCAGAAGTTCTCACTGTGAGGGCTGGCAGCTCTCCCGTTTATTAAAAAGGGCTCTTGCAACGGAGTGGAGCAGAGAAACCCTTTTTTTTTTTTTTTTTTTGTTAAATTCCTGAGGGGCTCAGAGGTGCCCTCAGCTCTGGAGCCGGGCGGGCAGCAGTCAGACTCAGCGCAGGGCCTCACCTCAGAGCTGGGTTCAACGCAAAGGGGGACTGCACCCCAAAACCAAGGCCTCCTCCTAAGCCTGCCCCCAGGCCTCTACTAAGAGTCTCTCAGCCTCCTAGCGAGCCTCCTCCCAGCCTCCCAGGCTCACCCCCACCACCCTCGGCCCTACCTGCCATGCCGGGCCCGCTGGCGGCCTCAGATCACCGCCCGTGACACGGCCCAGACAAAGGGCGCCGCCATCTTAGCACCGGGCGGAAGCGGCGTCGCCCCTTCCCGCCCACCGCATGCGGCACTGCGCCTGCGCGCCCTGCTCGGGGCGGGGACGCGCATGCGCGAAGTGAGGGTGGCCGTCGGGTCACGTGACGCGAGTGTTTTTCTCCCTCCCCGGCCCGGCGCCATGTTGGCGGGCGTTGGGATGGGGCTGTCGGGGTGGGGCGGGCAGCAGCGGGTCTTGCGGCGTTCTGTGGAACCGGGGGCTCAGCCTCGTGCCCTGTGCGTCCGTGGGGGCTGATGTTCCTTCCTTGGGTGTCTCTAAGCTTGGGGATGAGGGTGTGCCGTGATGGTGGCCCTGCTAGGCAGGGGGGTTGGAACTACATGATCCTTGAGGTCCCTTCCAACCCGGGTGATTCTGTGATTCTGTGGTGGCAGGGTGGCCCTACAGGAGCGGGCCCCGAGGTACGCTCTGTGGGGATGAAAGGCGCCGGAATTATCCTGGCGAGGGCCTGCGTGCTGAAGGAACTGGGTGGGTGGGGCTGAGGGTCTCGCTCAGGTCGTTAACAACCCAGATGATCCTCTGTGCGGCTTCCCATAGGAAAGGTGTAGTGCAGGGATGGCCGCTTGAGAGGAGCGTCGGGGCAGGGTTGTTCTTCACAAGGTGCTGGTGAGGCGAGGGTGGCCCAACTGCCACAGCTGTGCAGGCAGCTGTTCTCATGTACCAGCTTCCCTGTCAGGTGCGTGTGGCATGGCCAGCCTGCCAGCAATGAGCCCCTCGCAGGGCCATGTTCAGCGTTGGACCTCTGAGCTGCTTTTCACTCTGTCCCCCAGTTCCCACCCCGAAACCAGGCAGCTTTGGGGTGAAAAACCCTTTTTTCTTCCCTTTGGGTCTTTTGTCTGTCCTCCTCGCCACTAGGTGGCACCGTGTGACTGCAGTGTGTGGGTGCCAGGTGCCGTGGGGTGGCATTTTGGGGCACGGTGGATGCATCCTGTCGCTCATATCCCCATAGATGCACAGTTCCAATTTTCTGAGCTGTACTGGGCTCTTTGGGAGGTTTTTTGACACCGTTTAAACATTTTTCCTTGCAGCAAGGACTCCACCAAGCCCTGCAGCAGCTCCTGCCTCACCCGAGGTGAGCGTGGGACAGAAATAAAACAGCGAAAGGCACCAGCTAGATCCCTTTGAATGTCCTTGTAGCATTACAGGCATGTTAATGCTGATCACAAGCCATTATGGGACAAGCCGACCTCGCACCCGTGCCAAGGTAACATGAGCTGTGTGGTCTCTATAAACAGCCCTGTGCTGTGTTTGTACACATGGGGTGGCTTCGGGGCAGTGGTTGGTCCCACAAAGGAAGGAACCCTGGGTTTGGCAGCCTCTCTGCCCCAGCCTGCTGCCGTCTAGGGCTTGGTGGTGGGCAAAAAGGAGAAGAGGGTTTGGTGACCTTCCAAGGTGGGCTGGCAGCCGAGCAGCTGAGGGAAGGGCTTAGAAATAGAGCGGCCAGGAAGAAGTGAGTCACTGGGACTGGAAATAAACAAGGAGGTGGGCATGGAGCAGGGATGCTGGGGCCAGCTTCTTGTTTGCATCCAGGAGGAATTGTGGTCCCTGCTACTGAGGTCCCCATTGGAGCTGAGCCTGCAGCTGCTCTGTGCTTTTAACTCGGCTCCTTTGGGGAAAAAGCATCAGGAAAGCAGAAGAATGAAAGGAGGAGACAGCAGTTCTCAGTTATCTCTCATAACCCAGTACAAGCTGTATATACAAAGAAAAGCTCCAGCAGAGGGTCAGGGAAGGGCTCGCTCCCCAGCCTCACTCCTCGTATCCGTCCTGCAGGCAAACCCGCAACCACCACCACCACCACGACTGCTGTGGGACCTCCAGGTCTTCCCAGTCCAGCCCCAAAATGATGCCTGCAATCTCTTGTGGGTCCTGCAGTGAGGGATGCTCATGCTGTGTGCGGGTTTCACCTCATACCTCCTAGGGAGCCTGCGGGGAGCACTCCCATCCCCTCCACAGCATCCCCTCCATCCCAAACCAGCGGGGTGGCAGCCAGCTTGCCGGGGAGCAGACAGACAGCTAGATAAATAAGGGAGCACCCCGCAATCTACCCACGGGGCAGGGGAAAGGCCCGGCCCTGGCGCTGCCCCCGGCCTCTCAGATTTTGATCTCAGTCCTGAAGATCTGCTGGACGTGCTCGCTGTGTTTAGCCGGCTGCCTCACGGCGCGGATGGTCAGCGTGCCGTTGTCCCCCAGCGAGGATGACACCGATGTGGGATCCACATCCTCGGGCAGCTGGCACTTATGGGTGAAGGTGTTCATGACGGTGCCATCCGCAGCCAGCTGGGAGGGGGGAAAGGGGCGATTTTAGGCTGCAAGAGGCACAGGAGAGCTTTGTTCCTTTGCCCTTGGGTGAGGCTCGCGGTGTCGCCTTGTGTGTGGTGTTAATATTTATAATCTCCCTGCGGGTGCGTTGGTGGGACGTGAGTCACCTGGGGCTGGCAGCTGGAGGAACAAAGGTGCTGTTTTGGGAGCTGCTCCTGGGGCGTTAAGATTTAGGGTGTGTGGGGACAGCACCTGGGAGAGGACATGGGACGCTGCAGCAGAAATAAAGGGCAAAAAGACGAGGAAATAGGGACTTCAGTGCTCAATTGGTGACTGTGGGGGTGTCGTGATAGCCAAGTGGGGGTCTCTGGGGGTGGCAGCATTGGGGTGGTGATGTGGGGTGCCGGAGGGTGTGCTCACCTTCTCAGCGTGCACCTCAATCTGGTTGTTGGAGGTGGTGACAATGATGTCCTCAGGGGCGAAGTCGCTGACATCCACTGTGAACTGGTAGGTGTTGCCCAGGGTCTTCACGTTGCCATTGGTGCTGGGCCGAGCTGTAGGGCAGCGCAGGGGTCAGCTCGTCCCCTTCCCCCCGATAATTCCCTCCCAGAATTGACTCATTTCCCACAACTCTGTGTTGAATCCGAGCCCTCCACCCTCCTTGGGGTGACCTTGGGCTGCAGCGGGACCCCAAAAAGTGAGGTGCGCCCTCGCCGCGATCCCATTGTAGGGACTTGCCTGGGAAGCCCATCGGCTCGTGGGGCCTGGCGAAGCTCCCAAAAAGCTCCATGGGGCAAGCGGGCGATGAGGAGCGGCTGTGGTGGTGGAAGCTGTGCTCCGACCGGAAAGCTGAGGAGGATTTCAAGTTCATCCACTCCAGAGCAGGTCAAAGGGGCCAATGGCACCTCCTCACCCAGCGGCACCGGCTGTCTCGAGGGCGGCCACCGAGCTTATAAAGCCCCGTTTGGCTCTTGGCCACCTTCCAGACCTCTTGTAAAACCGGCTAAATTTAGGTCCTGCTACATCACTCTGGGCGCCGTGGAAATTTTTTCCTCTCTCCCCCCTTTCGTTGGCTCGGCTCCTCGCCGTCCTGGCCGTGGTGGGGGGAACCTGATTCCACC